GCATCTTAGCTGTAGAGGGCAGTGTCACTGGCCCTCATATGTGGGATCCGAACCGGGGCCCTCTGGCATCCCAAGCCAGTTCTTAACCAATGCGCACTCAGCTGGCCCTGATCATAAATTCTTAACTGGGCACGTCATAGTGGGTAGTCACACCCCAAGCATATACCGTATTTCCCCATGTATAAGATGCTCCCTTTTTCGAAAAATTTGGGGGCTAAAAACTGGGTGTGTCTTATACAGTGGTTGTAGATTTTTTTACTTGCATTTCCCGCTTTTTCGCGCTTGTTGTCTTTGTGCTTATTGTTTCGCACTTGTTACCAATATATTACAGCAGGTTTTGCCATGTTCTGCACAGAAATGGCTCAGAAAAGATTTTCGTACAGTGCTGAATTCAAGTAAAAAGTGATCCATTTTGCAAAAGTGAGTGGCAATTGTGCTGCTGAACGTAAGTTTGGTCCTCCTCCAACTGAGAAAACAATGCAAGACTGGCTACGGGAAGAAACCCTACTGAAAATGCCACGGCAGAAGAAGGCCATGAGAGGCAAGTTAGCAAAATGACCATATTTAGAGAGGGAATTGAAGATATGGATTGAAGAGCAAAGGGCAATTGGAATTCCTGTGTCCACAAAGATGGTTCAGCATGAGGCAAGAAGAATTGCTGATGAAAAAGAAGTTAAAACTTGAGTTCAATAACTTTAAGTAATACATTTTTTTTCAAATTTCCAGCCCCCAAATTAAGGTGCGTCTTACACATGGGAGCGTCTTATACATGAGAAATAAGGTAACTTCTTTGGTAAAACGCATATTTATCTTTGCCTTAAGCCCTGTCCATTGCTTCTGTGCATCTAGATTAACACACATTTGAAATGCCTCTTTTCAGACCCCTCCTTCTAAAGTGTGACCACCGGCAAGTGAGCACAAATTTTTGTTAACTATCCTGTAATCAGATCCTCACTACTTTCCTTTCTCCCACCTTCATGTAATCTTCCTTACATTCCCTTCTTAAATTCCAAATGCATAAAAGCTACTAACTGTCATTTCTTGGAAGCATTTTTCTCAGTCTGATAAGATCTTGCTTCCTGGCTATCCTCTGTTTGGCTCAAATAAATTATTATAAAAATTAGAGGTTTGGACGTTCTTACATCAACATCTCTAATGTAGGAACCGCAGTAGGAGGCAGAGCAAGATCCTTACCCCGGACCAAGGCAGCCAGACTTTTCAAACCCAAAGCGCCCCATGTCCCTCCCCGGGTAGGTCCAGTCCAGGCTCCTGCATGGTCACTTCCGGCCCCGACCCAAGCAGGCCAGCATTCCAATCCCTGGTCAGACAGGAGGGGCCCCAGGCCATCTGTGCATGCAGACTCAGGTCAGGGAACTGAGGGCCGCGGAGGAGAAAAAGTGGGGAACACACGTGAGTGGCTGTCAGCAGCAGGCCAGACAGCGCGGCGCACAGACATGGCCCTGCGGTGACCCAGGAGAGGGTGGGCAGCCGGCCAAAACCAGCAACTCCCAGGGAGAAGTGGGCCAAGCTGGAGTCCCGCCCTGCAGGGAGCTATGTGCCTGGCCCTCTGACGAGCAGCCCAGCTGAGAGACGGAGGGGGCGTGGCCGGGCTGGGCCGTACCAAGAGCACGGATTCGCAGGGTGAAGACCTGGCCCAGGGAGTGCTCGCGTGTTGGGCGGGGCGGTGCCGCCGACGGCCACGCCCCTACCCCCGTGACCGGCGCAGGCAGTGGTAGCGCCTCAGCGGTGTAGGCTTGCGGGCGTCCTGCGCAGGTGCGGGGAGTGCTGCCGGGCCGCCGGTGGTGAGTGCGCGGGATCGCGGGCGCGGGGTTTGTGAGGTCCTGGTGCCGGGGTTCCGGGACTCGACGCCCTCTGGTCTCCTCGGCCGCCCGGGCCCTTGGCGGTGGAGCAGCTTCGCGGGCCAGTTTGCTGTTAGACTTGGCGCTCGCACAGAAACCCGTGCTCCCACTTTGGCCCTTCCCGGGGTGGCCCTTCTGCGGCAGCTTGACGGTCGTCATTTCCACGGCCGGAGGCGCCCGACAGGCCCTCCCACCAAGTGTTAAGTCTGGGCGTCGAAGGGCTTGGGCACCAGGCCCGGCGCCGCCACTTAAGGGCTAAGCCACTTTTCCTCTCCAAGCCTCAGTTTGCCCGTCTGTACGATGGGCCTTGAGGCAACCAGTTTTGGGGCTAACTCACATAGAAGGCGCTCTGGGAGTGCCAATGGGACCCGAATCCTATCCTGCAGCATGAGGTGGGCTCAGTGGAGGGCTCAGGGGGGCCGGCTAGCCCGTCCTCTCCTGGGAATCGCTCTGCGTGCTGGCGAGGCCCAGGCATCTCTGGGGAGCAGTGTCCCTGGTGGACGCTGCTACAAATCTTTGCTGAGCTCTCCTGGGCAGCCGTGAACATCCTTAGCTCGTGGGAGCATTTGAGTAAGAGGTCGAGGTTTCCTGGGCTGATTAGGGTGGGGGTGGGGGCTTCAGAGAACTAGACCTCGACTTTGTTTTTTATTTCTTAAGGCGAGTCATCATTGTGTAAGCTGATGACCAATACTGAGGAGTTTAGGGTCATTTCGATGAACGTGACTGCCTCCTCTCTTGGACCCAGGAAATGCAGACTTCCCTCTGAGCTTGGCCACGCTAGAGAATAGTGCTAGCACCAAGGGAGACAGGGCTGGAGTGGGTGGTCCTGGGTCTGAATCTTGGCACCTTGTCAGAACGCTTAACTTTTTTAAGCTTGTTTTCTCTTCAGTAGCACAGATGGTGATTCACAGGGTTGAGGTTGTGAGGATCAAAAGAGAGTCTTGGAGGGAGGGTGACATTGAGAATTGTGCTTTAAGCTGAGCAGCCTTTAAGCTGAGCAGTTAACTAACCCTCTGGGATCCATTGTCCTCACTGTGCAATGCTGTAATTCCTGTTGTTTGGGGAGGAGCCATTGATTCACAAGTTCTGCCTACACAAGTCCTTTGAGTGGTTGTGGTGTTGACTTGATTGGGGAGATATTCCAAAGTTCTTAGTGCAGCAGAGAACCCAGAAGGGATGACTATCTTTGTGGCCCTCTAAGGCAGCGGTTCTCAACCTGTGTGGGTCGCGACCCCTTTGGGGGTCGAATGACCCTTTCACAGGGGTCGCCTAAGACCATCGGAAAACAAAAAGATATTTACATTACGATTCATAACA